TACAAAGTTTTTCTTAAAGAAATAGTTTGACATTTTTGCAAATACACTTAATTGCTCTTTTTTCTTACAATAAATATGTAGCTAAAAGAAAACGATGAACTCAGTTTGAAGCTGGGGGAACGCGGCTATAACCTGGTTCTGTACAAAAGTCAATATCAAAATGAAGTATTTTAACAGGACCACTACAACTCAGTTATTAACATGCCATATGTTATGTGTTGAACGTGTAAATGAAAAATGTAAAAATGAGAATTCGTCCTATTATAGGTTTTTGTGTGTGTAACGACACACAACTCCATGTAAAACCCAAACTTTAAAAACACACAATTTTGTGAACATTACTCTCTGTGTAAAGATTAATAAACAGTTTTCATGTTTGTCGGTTGGCATATTTTCATAGTCACTTCTCGATAGTTCTTGCTCTAGCTTCTCTTCCCAGTCTTAATAGTAAGCTAGGCTAATTGTTGCTAATACCATAATCTCCGCATAGACAAGAGAATGCGTCAATCTTATCCAGCTCTTGATAAGTAAGTCAAGGAGCCGATTTTATGAAATGTCAAACGTTTCCTTTAACGTCAAGCAAACCTCTGTCCCTTTACTAACATAAAAACACAAGAATCAAAACTGAAGCAGATCAAAGCACAGGCTCACGCTACTGAATCACAGATTTCATGATATACACCGTCGGGCTTACTTCAATGTGGTGAGTGACTACTGACAGCTTTGACATGTTTTATCAGCTATATAACTTTTGCATCTCAAGAAACAAAGGAATGAAGTATTGATAGTGCAAGGTTGTAAGGTACATATATTAATATATTGTTTTAGATACTGTCCTATATGTAAAGTGCAAATCTCTGGATCAGATGAAACGTGTGTGTGCAAGCAATTTTCTAATTTGGACTCAATGATCCAACCTGCCCATGCACGAATGAGCCCTTTACACTGGCTGCCAGCTACTTTACACACCACCTGGTGACACATTCACATTACACATCATCATTTCATTCCTTCGGCTCAAAGCTTTTTTTAAAAGTCTGATTATTTGAAGAAGCCAAACACGAATAAGTGGTCTTGACCTCCATTATGAATGAATGTGTACTTATAGACTTTGGGTGATTTCTGTAAAGTGCGTGCATTCTTTTTTTGTAATCCTCTTTTTTTCTTCTGTTGTGTATTAACACATTCCCAGTGTGGGGTCTGTTGGAGATCAACATGTTGAAGTCTAACTGTTGCCACGGAAACCTTCAACTTTAATCCAACAGATTTCTAATGACACCTCTAAGCGTTTTGGTCAATAATTAAGTTAACCTTCATGTCCATTAACATTGTGATTAACTGGGAATGAAGGTGAAATGGTGTCAGCTGAGGAGAAACACCACTGAGGCCGGCTCAAGTGGAAATGCAGTCATAAACCCCCTCCCCAATCACACACGCCAAAAGAAAATCCCATGTGCTCACCATCAACGCAGGCTGCAGCTTCGACACAATAAACACACAAACACAATCATGCAGGGTCGACTTGAAACAGTTTCTCACTGACTTGTGTAACTGATGTTCTTAAGACCAGCTTATTCTGACTTGGGGGACATGGAAGGCCAACATTGGGTGAGTAAAATTGGAAATTTTCAAAGTGCAATATAACAGCCAACCTATTTTTTCCCCCAATTCCTCAGGCTCTTTAAAGAGGGCAGTTGTAGGGTTTGTGTGCAGGGTCGGGCCGTGTTTGATGTAAGCGTGGGGGAAGAGGGGGTGAAGAATCAGTTGGTCTCGTAGGTGGAGAGCAGGGCAGCATCCACAGGCTCCATGCAGGAGGGGCAGGTGAAGGATCTCATCAGCCAGTCATCTATACAGTCCATGTGGTAGATGTGCATACATGGCAGGAACCGGATGGGGTCCCCGTATACAAAGTCCAGCATACAGATCACGCACCTGAGAAGAGAGGAAGTGAAGGGGTTAAACACGCCAAATCACACATTTTCTACATTATTGTGATATTTCATATAACATCACAGCAGTCGGCAGTAGTTGTATAAAAAGATACATGACATTTATGAAGAACTGAAAAGTTTAAATAGATAGTTAAACAACAGAAAGCGACGAAACAATATTGATAGTTTTTTGATTGATTGAATGTTCTCTGGTTCCAGACTCTCAAAGTGTCGATTAGCTGCCTCTCTGTTTAATGTAAATGTGACAAAACAAACAAATGTAAAAACAAGTCTATAACAATTTATAGAGTATAGAGTAAAATATGAATATATATTCACAATATGTATCTGATTGTTATACAGCCTGAATAGAACTGAACCAGCTGCTTGCTTCTCCTCTGCCAGTATAGCCACATTGCTAATAATTATAATAATACCATCATTCTTTCCTACAGCTGGCAGAGATTCAAATTAGAGTGACATTAGAATAGAAAAAGTTGTCAACAATCACAGTTTCAAAGTATCAACATTATTGCTTAAAGACGTGTTTTTACATGATACAAGAGATGTCATACGTGAAATACACCGACAACTTCACCACTAGATGTCACTAAATTCTACACACTGAACCTTTAATCCAATTAATTTTAAGGCAATGTGTAATTCTGCAGAACAGAGATGAACCTTTGGGGATTTAATTAATGTCAGGAGAGGATTTTCTATTTCTTAATTTAATTAGTCTGTTGTTGATTTATCAGCTGATCATTTCAGCACACTACAAATAATGACAGCTTTGCTTGCACATATGCAACAAATGCTTTTTTTCCCCTGTGGATGACCTCAGATGCAGTAATTGGATACACTCACTCTCTGATCTTTTTCTCAGAACCGTCTTTTCCTCCATCATAGACGCCCTTCGGGAGGTGCTGGATGAGGCCAATGCGCTGAGCTATGCGAATCTGCTCCTCCTCTGTCAGCTGTGTGGCCAGACGGGCCTGGCTGGGTGTGGGATGGTACATGGGCATATGAGCCTGCTCCTGGTGACACACAAAGAAACAGCAACCAGAAATAAACGTGATTATCATCTCAATATCATCTCGCTTACAAAGAGGTGGAGTGAAAGATAAGAGCATCTGTCTGGTCTGAACGGCTGTTCTGTGCAAGTGACACAAACCAAATATGTGTTTAGGAAGAAAACCTGCTGTATCTTGACATGTAGATTTTAATCTTACGCAATCCTCGCTGACAGTTCGTCCCATATGTTTCAGAAACATGCATCAATGAGCTCGTACTTCAGCATGTGTGTGTTTACAGCCTCTGACCTGGTACGGCGGAGGTGGTTCAAGGTCCGGGTCCATCCCGTCCCCGAAACTCGCTCTGTCTGACTGGGATTCATGAAGCAGAGAGATGTCGTCTGAAGTGGGAGACTTGAGACAGTTGCCCATGTCTTCGTGTCTCCGCTCCCGTCCTCCTACGACCGACGTCAAAAAAAAAACAACAAACAAAAAACAACCCGATCTTGTCGCTGCTAAAGTTGCTCTCGTTGGCTAATGTTAGATTTGTCTTTCTACTACTCCAGAAACCACAAATTTAAGATCAGAAGACACAATACACATGGTCGTAAACCTGCTGTGTACACGTTGAACGATGAAGCAAAACGTCCAAACTAGTTTCTCTCCATGTTTACACGGACAAACAAAACAAAGAACTCCTTTGCTAACGACAGCTAGCAGCCGAGCTAGCTACTTTTTCGTCCTACTTCCGTGACGAGAATCGCTCACTACTTCGTCAGAAACGTAATTTCAGTTAAATGTCCACTTCAGCAGAAACAGTAGTTCATGGACTGTGTGGTCTGGCAGAGGAACCGAGGCGACATGTCTTCTTTTTAACTTCCTGAGTAGATGTTCTCAGTTTGTCTCCTCGCTTAGCTGCTCTCTCCTTCTTCACCCGACATGTTATCGGTCCGTTGTATATGACGTCAGTGGGGTGATGCTGCGCCGTTGATTGGATGATTTCTGTTACGTGGGTCCCAGACAGGACCAAGTCCCGCCCATTTTAATGACGATAATAACAACAACAAACGAATTACTGGTTTATGATCAATAATAAATTCAACCATTTTTCTGAAATATATATAATATTTACATATGTTTTTTATTTCTTTAATTGTATTTATTTGAAACTTTGGATGTGCAGTACATGGACATTATTGTTAAAATAAATGTTGATTTAAAGGTCCAGTGTGTAAGATTGAGGTGAAAGGGAACTATTGGCAGGAATTTAACTAGAATAATCCTCATGATGTTTTCACTAGTTCATTTCATCTAAATTGTGTGAATTGTAGTTTTCTTTACCCCAGAAAAGGCCCTTTATATTTAAATACTTTATATTTACATCGAGGGGACCCTCTCTACGGAGGCCGCCATGTTTTTTACATTAGTAAAATGTAACAAACCAAACCTTTTGAGTTTTTATGACAACTAAAGGCTACCACAGTTTCTTTTTCATGTTTGGAAGGGGAGGGTGAGGTGAGGGGTGATAAGCTGCAACATGCAACTTCAACACTAGATATCACAAGATTCTACACACTGTACCTTTAAGAAAGACAGATAAATGAAAAACATCAGTGAGAAATGAAAGTAAATAAAATTAATAAAAACAATTTGAAGAATACACATCAGAAGGTCGGAAGTTCGATCCCCAGTCTTCCTATCTGCAAGCCAAAGTGTGCCTGGGCAAGATGCTGAACCCCGAATTGCCCCAGAGAACAACAAAAAGTGCTGCTAATAGATGCACTGTATGAATGTGTGTGTGAATGGGTGAATGGCAAACTGTAGTGTAAAGCGCTTTGAGTGGTCATCAAGACTAGAAAAGCGCTATATATAAATACAACCATTTACATTTAATTTCATAAAAATAAAACAAAATTAAGTGTGTGTATAAATCATCAAACCTGCAACAAAAGTCTATTTAGTGTATACAGCTATCAAATACCACACTACCAAACGTTTTAAAAATCTGAGAAAAAAATCACTTTCAATAGCAGTGGCAACTTGAGGACACCTTTATTTGTATATACAGCTATTGTACACATAAAAACCCACAAATTATTTGCATTCCAGGAATTTATGATACAAGTCTCCATGTTTTTGGTTAAGTGAGTTTCACAGAATCGGCCCTCTTTAGGCAAACAAAACAAATACACAAATCTTAAAATGAACATTTTCCAACGATTCCCTTACCTTTAAAGCTCATCAGCTGATACTGTTTATTATATTTTTTTCTCTAAATGTTAAAAACAGCATAACTTCTCTGTACATTATTAGTAAGCAATAGAGTAATGTTGACTTGTGAAGCAAAATGTGTGATGTGTGTCTACAGTGTTTCCACAGTCATTGTCCGAGATGGTTCATACAATATTCACAAGAAAGAAAAAAGATAAAAATAGATGACAGGTTTGATTTGATGTTAAATGACAGAAAATCAAATGTTAAATATAAATGTTTGATATTTCTTTTTTTTAAAGGTGCAGACTGGTAAAATAAAAGTAACAGGCTGTTTTGAAGGATGATGAGGAAACTTTAAAGGTATTCAGTTTGGTGGAGGCATGATTTAACAATAACACTGGGAGAAATAACAAATAAGTATATTTTCTATGTTATTCTATGACTTTATTTATATCTCACAAATTATTATGTTCAATACCAAAAAAGAAAAATGACGGGGAGAATCAGGCAGTTTTACCCCCCTGCACATTCATTCACACTGTAAAAAAATCCAGCATTATTGAGTATTAGTATCCACATTGTCTGGTAAAGTATCCGATCGTCTCTGCGTGATGGCTTATCGTGTTGATCTGGTCTACTAAATGGCAATGGTGGGATGATCACAAACTATTTACAAAACAACTTATTTATAAGAAAATGTAGTTACATATTCACACACCCCACAGATCAATACTGTTCAGAGCAACACTGAATCATTTAGAAACATCTTCAGAAATGAAAATACCTTATATTGACACAAAGGACATAATTTGATCCATTTATTTAGTTTATTTTCTGCATCCCACGACTATTTGAGATGTATTATTACTCTCTATCATCAAGTACAAGTCAGGAAATAGACCTTATTTATTGTCAGTGTTCTGTGTGAATTGGCAACTACAGTTTCAGGAAGTATTGTTCTTCGTTGTTTTGGGTTCACATTTGTCCAAACATCCAGAGGGCCCTTGGCCTCAATGCACTGATGCAGAAAGAGTTACATTGACCTTCACTCTGTACACTGTCGCACTCCAACACCCCCACTGGGATTCCCCCTCCTCTTCCACATTGTGCCTCCCATCCCTAGCACCTGTCGTCCTCCTCTGTGTCACTGAGAGGATCGCAGCCCGCCACCGAGGCCGTCTGCGCCAAACGCTTCCGAAAGTGTCCGTTGGGGACCTGCCAGCCAGTCCGCAAACGCGGGCGGGCTGAGCTGATGGTGTTTGAGCGTCCCAGGCTGCAGGCCACAGCCGCCTCGAAGGTCAAGGTCTCCATGGGACCAGAGGGGTCAGGGCTGTGGTCCTCCTCTTGTGAGGCCAGGAATGGCTCTGAGGGGTAGCGTCGAGGCGGGGAAGGGTGTTGGCCGGCCTCGGTCCGCCCTTCTCCTGCCACCCCCTGTTGGATCTCCCAGGTGGGCTTGCCTCGCCTCATGGTCTCTGGGCTGCCATGTTCGTCCGCGTCTTCACCGACAGAGGCTTGTGTGCGACACACGAGCGGGGAGTAGGAGATGTGAGGGCGAGACCGGGTCGGGGTTTGCGATAATGGTCGTCGGCCGCTGGGGGTGCTGGACTCTGAGGTGGAGGGCACTGGACTGTCTGAGCTGTTGCCCTGAGGATAAGAGGTACTTGGATTGAATTATGTCCCAACATGAACTTCATGACAAACGTCTGCTCACGAGAGAAAATAAAGAAATGGTGTTTTTATCTGTTTCATGTCATTAATATGTAAATGTGTGCAGCAATATCTCATCAGACCATCTTCTCCATGAGGATGACCTCTGGTCTAAGTATGTCACAAGATTCTTGATTGAATGCATTCACAAGAATGTGTCTACAGAATAATAATGACATCATAGTGTCAGAGAGTCAAAGATTTACAGCCATGGTGTCTTCTTGGCAAAATTCAGCACATTATAAGTGGATGGTTCAGTCAAATGAGTCAGAATGTTGAGTGTTAAACAGAAGGGGAAGAACCACCAATGTATTTTCAAATGAGTGAAAATGGCGGCTCAGGAGGGAAGACATGTCAGCAATGTCAGCTTAATTTCCACATCCCATTAAAAACAGGGCACGCGTGATAGAGTAAACTCAATTTTTAAGTCAAGTGAGTGACATAGCCGGCCATGTTGGATTTGGGATAACTTCTCTGTCAGAATATATACACTATGCCAATGCATATAGTGATTTTGAGTGCAATTACAGAATTATCAGTTTTAAAAACGCAGCAGTGGAGTCACAATGTCACAGAGACACAGAGTAACTGGAGCTCAGAGTTATAACATGGAGTCACAGAGATGCTGTCGTTCCTGTCCAGGTCCCTGAATCACCAGGCTGACCTGAGTTTTTCTGACCTACCTGTTTATCTTGGACGTGTGCTCGCTCCACGCTGGAGGAGCATGAGGGCTGCAGGCTTCTTTCCTCTGAGTTACAGCGAGATGTGTCTGGTGAGAGGAGGTGACAGCGCTCCTTAGAGCGGCCACGCTCCCTGTCGGAATGATGCTGCCAGTGATCTGACCGAGAAACTAGTGGACAGCACAAGACAAAACAACAGAATGAAAGAAGAGGTGAAGAGAAGAAACACAGCGTGACTTGGGGTTAAACTGCAAACTGCTGTGGTAATAACAGATGAGCAGACTAACCAGCAGCCTTGTAGCTTTTGTGACGAGGTCGATACAATCGCTCAGGACTTTTCTCCTCCTGCCAGAGACCGTTGACCCGCTCATCCCCAACAGTGGACACTGAACGCTTCATGGAGCCACTCGCGACCTCTGTCTGCTTGTATGTGAAACACACACACAAGAATACAAGCACAAGGTAGAAAACAGAAAATATTATACATACTTATTAATAGATTCATATTTAATTCAGAAATTGTGTTTGCAATTCATTTACATGCTTTACTCATTATACTTTAGTCTTTCCTGAATTCTGGAGATGAAATGAAGAAGTTGAGGTAAAAAGGCGAGGCATCAGCATTCAAGTATCACACCCCATTCTAACAATTCAGCCTAAATCAGACTCCAAATGCACCAAAGGACAAACCAAATCTCTACTGGAGTAACTCTCTCGTGCACGTATGGATAGAGGCCTAGTGGCATTAGAGCCCATGCAGCCACTGAACTCCCCGAGGTCCAGCCCAGAGGCCGTGTCGTGGAAGATGTGTGTACCTGCAACTCTACAGCCAGACGAGGCATGGAAGAGGCCCGCACACACAGGCCCCTCCCTAGCGGAAGCTCCAGAGGGGCTTCAATCCCCCCACTGCACTCGCCCACCTAGGTGAGTACAGAAACAAGAGAGGAGGGCAAGAGAGACAGAGCACCAGTCAGGCTCGTCCCTGCCAGGACTGCCTCTGTATCCAGGTGAGAGGGGTTCAGCCAAGCCAGTGCATCACTGAGGGCTCTATCATAGCCATCACCATCGCCATCCAATCAGAAGCCATTCCAGCCAAAGAAACGGACAGATCAACGACTAGCAACAGAGATAACTTCACTTCCAGGAAGGGGGAGAAACAGAGTGAGGTCGTAAATGAGGAAGAAAGAGTGAAAACGAATAGATGATAAACAAAACAAAGAAAAGATGGGATCCATATCTCAGCTACATGTATTCATGCATATTCAGGTCTTCATCGCTACACAAACAGAGCCAGACGACATCTCTCCAGGGATCAAACACATTCCTCTGCACACCAACATGTGGGGAGTTCAGAGCAACTTCGCATCATTCATCTAGCAGGCAATGGGGACCAGTAAAAAAACCAGACACAGCAAAACATCAATAGTGTGACAGTCCGCCTCCACTAATCCGACCTCCACGGGACTAAAACGTAACCAAAGACAGGAGCACAGAGAGTCAGTGATGCCGTGCTCTGCAAGGCACTGAAAGAAAAGTCACAGCAGTGTCAGAAATGTCCACATTTTCTACAGTTAGATGTGAAAGTGGTTCCCAACGTGAGAGAAGAACAAGCATAATAATGTATATTTATGAGACTTTTCACTGCTTATGAAATAAGCTATTTTGATTTGGAAATTCTCATCAAAAGAAAGAAGACAGGATGTCTGTTTCCTTGAGAAGTAAAACTCAGGATTTAGTTTAAGTGATCACAACCATTGATAGAGGTGCTACTGAGCCTCTGTTTGAAATTACTGTGATTAACATTTCAAACTTCCAAATTCTGTGGCTCCTGATCTGGATCTACGTCTTTCAATATTCAGTATCTATTAATCAAATCCAAAGTATAAATATCAGCGAAGCAGTTTACAAGAAAACAACAGAATGGCTCTGCTTTGAAAACCATATAACATTTCATTCTATTCATTTTATAGATTTTCTTCTATTACGCTTTGGGGGTGTCTTGTCCCTATGAAAGAGAGGAGGGACAAGGCTTTGTTTTTAATGGTTGTAAGTGAAAAGTTTGGGAACCACCACTCTAAGACGTGGTTATGGTATTAATGTTGTATACTCGTGTTCACCCTCTTCCTTACCAGAGGTTGCTGTTGACCTGCGTCAGTGTCGGAGCTCATCGGCTGCAAAAACAGTTCCTGGGGTGAGATCGGGCTCAACGCCACGAAGCCTCCTCTGGTCCTGAATCAGGACGGAGCACAAGAATAAGCAAACGCAAACAGAGCTACACACAGTATTTTGCACACATTTGCAGACTCACAGGGCAGAACCAGCGCTGTGGGCCATCATCGGCAGAGGCTGGGTGTTGGAGAGAATGTCCTCTGGGAGGGCGGCAGCATCCAGACGCTTGAACATCAAGCTACTCTTCTAAAATGAGAGACAGAAATACGAACGGTCAAATACAAATGAGACGATTTCACACCAGGTTCAATTTCAAGTGATTCAGGCCACAGTTAAGGATTTGAACGGTGGAAGAAATACAAATATCTGATAAAAGAAACAACAAACATTTTATATGAATGTCAATTAAGGAACTTCTGGATATTTTCATTCCTCCCACCTCTATGTACGCTGTTCTGTGAGGTCACGATGGATACCAAAGGAAAGGTATCTTTGTCTTCTCCTAATATTTCTCTTTCAATAAATAGCTAAATGTAAAAAACATAAAATAACAAAACTGGCGTGACACATAGTAGAGTTCATACACAGTGATTGAATTGTATTGATATAGAGCTATTGACACAGTCATACAGCGCTTTATTCATTCACTCTAAGCACAACCATCAGGGGAAATTTGGGGTTTGGAGACTAGTTGGGGATCGAACCACCAACCTTCTAAGAGCCACAGCCACCAGGCTACATCTGCCAAGGCCGGAAAATTTCTTTGCAAAGTGAAAATTCTTGCAAATGCCCCTTAATCTTTGTCCACACAGATGATTAATGGATGTTGAACATGACCTCCGGTGTCAGAAAGTTGATCATGAGCTGACCTGAGCCTCCAGTTGTTGCCTGAGCTTCTTGGCTTTGTTCTGTTTGAAATAGTCCATGATCATCATCGAGGCGTAGATCTTCCCCACAGTCATGTCAGTATCTGTGAGGGCAGACACATTCATATTAACGCTCACTCAACGTGTACACTGAATATTTCCTTGTTCGAGTCAGACCTTTGTTGATTGGTACCAGGAGATCTAAGTTCTTCTGGGGAAGATACGGCCAAATGATGCTGATCTCTTTCTGCAGCTCAGAGTCCAGAGCCACACGGTCCTCACCACCTGAGACGAACATTCAAAATCAGGCAAATAGACTGAGTGAATTTCAATTATTGTTTATCTTGTAGACCAAATAATTAATGATTTTTAATGATAATAAAAAAGAAAATTTTTCTTGCAGTTGCAGTTCTAGGTGCGAAATAAAATCAATTACATGCAGCCTGACCTCGAGCGATCTTGATGTCCAAAGCCGTGCGAATAAGCGACATCAGGGTGGAGGTGAAGTGGACGGACATGTCCTCGTCCACAGGCATGTTCATCAACACCAACCTCTGATGGATAAGAAGACAGATGCAAATTCATTCATCAGTTACTTGTACTTTTAATTTAATCAATGTAAACTTTGTGTCAGTTCATGATGTATTTATATTAAACAAATAGGATTTTACTTGAGTTTCCAGTTTTTCTAGATGATCACGTTGTCAGTACCTTGTATGCGATCTTTGCAGGACATTTTTTTCCCAGGCCCAGAGGTGGAGACATGTGTGTTAACATCTCATACATGGCTGTGTAGTGGATACGACCACTTGAAGAGGTTAATGAGAGGAAGTACAAATGTTATTCATTCTACAGCTAAGTCACATTTAAAGGTCGTACAGTTCTTGTTTGGCATTTGAAACATGGCGTTTAAATATTCAGTGATTCACAAATTGTTTTCATTTTCTTCCAATAAACACACGTAGATACTCTTATTATTGATTTCTTATTACTCTATTTCATTATTGTCATCTCCTCACTGACTTTGAATGGAAACTAGCTTGTTCTAAGCATGTTTACTCATTGTACTTCAAGGTATTTCTCACCCTTTGGCTGCCCTCTGCTGGATGAAGGTAGAACATGAACATTGATCATCTCTGCTTTAAACCAATTAAAACTGAACATGTAAAGATGCAGCAGTAAACTAAGTCATGTCTCACCACGCCAGACGATCATACTCCCCCCAGATTCTGACAAACTCATCCAGGTGATGGGGGCCGAGGATGGAGGAGTCTCGAGTCAGGTACTCGAAGTTATCCATGATCACGGCCACGAACAGATTCAGCATCTAAAGAAGGAACATCAAGAGGGAGCTTGAGGAGGGAAACGCAGCAGAAGCTGCAGGAATATCACTGTTTGAGAACGGACCAGGAAGGAGCTGAAGAAGATGAAGGAGACGAAGTAGCAGTAAGCAAAGTCGGTCCCGCAGCCTCCCTCGTGGTCTGGAGACAAGGTGAGGGGGGAGATGGATGGGTCAGGTTCACACTCCTGACCCGACAGACAGGAGAGCATGATCTCCTGCCACGACTCTCCTGTCGCACTCCTGGTGGTTTATGGATAATTAAAAAAAAAAAAAGATTAAAAAATAGCAACAAAAGATTATTACTTTGAATCAAACTTAAATTTCCATCGGGCTGTAAACATATGTCTGATGAAAACACCTGAACAGAAGCATCAGCGCGCTGAAAAACGTCTTGAAGTTGTTGTGCTGATTGATGTGACTCTCATCATTCAGCTTGATGTTTCCAAACACCTGCAGAAAACAGGGACAATTATTCTTCTTCTCTGTTTTATTGGAGCCTCATTAGCTTCCACCACAGCAACATTTTCTGGGGTCCAGAAAAAAAACTACTTTCATACGTAAGATCGGGGGTGAATTCAAAGGTGCAAAAGCAACGTTCAATAGCAGGCGGACATCAACTGAGAGCAACATTAGTCTGTCATGTTATTTCTGATATTAAGGAGTTTCATATCATCATTAGTGAGAGAATACCTGCATTCCAATTATAGCATATATGAAGAAAAGCATCGCAATGAGGAGACACACATACGGAAGAGCCTGTGGCAGAAGAGACCACAAAGAGAGGTGGTTAGAATCTGTGATCAAGATAAGAATCTATATCTTCTGACATTGCTCAAAATATTAATAATAATAACGTGTCCCGACCTTAAACGATTGCACGAACGTCCACAGCAGAATACGAATCGTGTAACCCTGTCTCAGCAGCTTGATCAACCTGGCCGCTCGGAAAAGCTTCAGGAAGCTCATGTTGATTGTGTTCACAGACTGGGACACACACACATGGTTGCAGAGAGCGAGAGAGAGCGGCAGACAGAGGGGAGAGACAGGATGTAAAACACAGATGGTGAAATTCATCACAACATGACTTAAGTTGTGTCTGGAGGCCGGGATCATAACACTCGTGGAAACTGGAGAGAAGAATGCTGCATTCAAAAGCATCTATTTGAGTCTTCTCTCTGTTTTAGGTTCACAACAGTGTGAAAACGAACTGCGTCTTGGCAGAATCTTACCTGTAAATCCACAATTATCTCAGTGATGCTGCCAAGAACAGTGATGAAATCAAAAATATTCCAAGTATCTCGAAAGTAGTTCTGCATGAAAAGAAGAAATACACACAAGTTCCTCATTAGTTCATCCAGATGAAACCTAAATTGATCAATTGATTCATTTTTTGTCATAATACTCACCACTAAACCAAAAGCCAAGATCTTGAGGATACACTCCATGGAGAAGAGGACAGTGAACGCTGTGTTCAGGTGTTTCAGGACCGTATCATACGCAGTTGGGGCTGAGTGATACTGAAGAGAAACAAAAATAAACAATCTGATCTTTAATAATTAGTTAACATCACTGATACTGGCCTTTCTAATTCAGTTCCATTTAGCTGGATGTGATAACTGAACCTACACTCAACACATTTAAAAACAATCACAAAAGATTTATACTTTTTAGCCCATCAACAACATATTTAGTACATTACTTCTGATAAAGATCAAATTACCAAAAAAGCATCATAAACATCAGTAATATATCAAATATTGATAATAATTCATTGTGTTACAATAACATGGTAATCAGTGTATCTGAGGAGGCAAGTAGTTCTACTTGAATCACCACAAACAGAAGAAAATAAATATTCATTAAAAGAACATTTTCAGTGTCGGTGGTGATTAATCAGCGTTAGTGTTATAAAATGAAAATATGTTAAACACGAGGTTCAGCTGCTCCTCTGCTGTAAAAGAGCCAGTCAGTTGTTCACCTTCATCATGAGGACCACAGTGTTGAGGGCGATCATGACGAGCACCGTGTACTCAAACGAGGGCGACGCCACAAAGTGCCACAGCCTGTACTGGAAGGTTTGTCTGTTCTGGGGCATGTAGCGGGTCATCGGCTTGGCGCTGATGGCAAAGTCAATGCAGGCCCTCTGAAATTCAACACAACAGACACACAAAGCCGCAGATGATCCTTGATCCTCAAACAAATACACGTGTGTGTTGTATCTGTGTGTGTTTGAGTGTCACTGCTCCGCACCTCGTTCTTCTCCAGACTGCACTCCTGGATCATCTTGTCACCCTGCTCCTGGAAGGTGATGATGATCAGAGCCACGAAGATGTTGACAAAGAAGAACGGGAAGACTACGAAGTAAACCACGTAGAATACTGACATCTCCATTCGATTGCCACGACTCGGACCCATGTTCTCCTCTGTTACGTCAGTCGAGTGCTGCAGGACCCTATGGATGTAGAAAAAACTCTTAAACACACTGTTTGGTTGGAAACTGGGTTGATCCACGTGTCTTCAGGCTTTTAACAACACGTCTACATGATCAAAAACCATGAGGAGGAAACTAGAATTACTTCCGCCTCCACCAACCAGAACAGATTTCGTCTAAATACATGTTTTTTTTCCTTTCACCTTTGACAACTGGTGAAAATTTGAAAACAATTCATAAAGGGCCATTATGATCTTGACCTTTGACCTTTGACCACTCAAATCAAATCCTTGAATCTGTGAGTCTTTGTGAATATCTGTGGCGAATTTGAAAGAATTGTCTAAATGCATTCATAATGTAAAGTGTCCACGAGGCCAAACAAGGTTTTATTAGGTCACAGTGACCTTTGACCTGCAAATCCTATTCAGGTCATTCTTGAGTCCAAGTGAATGTTTGTAATAAAGATTCCTATGGGTGTTCCTGATATCACAATAACATGAGGTCAGCATGACCTTGACATCTGACCTCTGACCTATAATCATCTTTGTGTCCATGTGAATGTTTGTAATAAATTTGAAGAAATTCCCTCGAGGTATTCTTGAGATATCGTGTTCAGAATGTGACAGACGGACGACAACCCAAAAACATAATAAATCTGGTCCGTGGCTTTTACTGGTGCAGAGTAAACTTACTGAGGCCATCCCTCCCCAGTCGAGACAGTGAAAAGTGTGAGCAGGGCCCAGCAGACGTTGTCGTAGTGAAACTCGTGTCTCCTCCACTCTCTCCTCTTCACCTCCTTCTTGTCTCGGCTGTAGTCTATGTAGTAGCCTCTGTAGGGAACAGAGCAGCCCAGCGTCAGTCACTCACAGATTAAAGTGGCAGTTTTAATGGAATGGAGGAATATTTTACTTCATCCCTAACTCCGCCAAATAGGTTATATCTTCACCCCGTCCTTTTTTCTGTTGGTTGTTTGTTTGTGAACAGCATTACACAAAAACTACCAGATGAATTAACATGAAAGTTGGTGGAAAATTCCTGTGTGTGTCAAGGAAGAAGCAATTCAATTTTGGTGCAGATCCGGATCAGGGGCGGATGCAGAAGTTTTTCTTTTACTTTCTGTAATAATGCGAAATAGAGCATTTTTCAACATTTTCATTGATTTCTCATTGAATGATTCAGGGATCTTGAGGAAAATCAGGAATTTCTTGGGAACTGATATCTCTGAGTGTGCACAATTTGGTGGAGCTTGATTGAATTTAAGTGGATTGTTGGACCGTGGCGGAGGTATAGGATCTAGTTAAGGTCAATTTGTTATTGGGATGAATCCACTCACTGGCATTCCTTCTCTGTATTCATGGAGCTGTCAGTGCAGTAGAAGAACTTCCCCTTAAAGAGCTGCACGGCAATGACGGCAAAGATGAACATGAAGAGCTGATACACGATGAGGATGTTGAAGACGTTCTTCAGAGACGTGACGACACAGTCAAAAACAGCCTGAGGAGAAGAAAATCGAATCTGTCAGAGGTCAGGGAAATAACAAACAACATTCTGGAGAGTGTTTGCAGAGGCTGACATCGTACCTTGAGTTTAGGTAGTCTCTTGATAGTTTTAAGAGGCCGCAGGACTCTCAGAACTCGGAGAGACTTTATTGTCTTGATGTCTCGGCCTTTGTTGTTCCTGTTTAACACGGAAACACAGCACTCAGGAAAAGAGCTGTGCACTTAAGCGAACGCACAAATACAACGTAGTGAAGACACATTTATAAAAACAGTGGAAAAGAAAAAAACACAGTGAGCAAAAAGGTCAGCACAAGTGGATGTCCAAAAGAACCCACAATGACACACAGAACTACACTTTGGGTTTGTTTGTACGGAGGCCAGCAGGCGTCAAGAGTAAAAACATTTTCATACTTCTGCTAATTTGACTGTATATAAATAATGTAATTTAATGTTGAAAAGCTTAATTAATTCTGTCAAGGTCATGGCAAAAACGTCTATTATTTATTGTATTTATTATGTCATTTGAGGTAATAAGTAATTGCTTATAAAGCTGAAATTACGTTTAAGTGTTCCGCAAACTATAAAAGATTTTTACCCCTGATACCTGTCGGACATAAAAACACATTGAATACAAAAAAAAAAATCAATATAAGACACAAATAAGACACATGAAAATAAAAAATAAACATCACAAGCGTGTGTGAGAAGTTTACATTTAGTGTGACTAAAATGTTTACCCCATCACATTCCTGGAAGCCCCAACAGTCACACAATCCCCAGGAACAACAGAGAAAAAGAAATCAAGGCATAAAGAGAGAGACACCGTGAACAGAGCTCAGAGGATCACAGCTATATTCACAACAGAGAAATTCACGTGTCAAACAACAAAGAGAACAAAAGGTTTGGTTAGTAATCTGCAACGCTCACACCAGGAAAGACAACAGAAAAAAAAATATATATATATCGTAGAGACTGTTAACATCAGTCATGACACACTCCCTCAAATTACACAGAAATCCACGATTTCATTTTGTTTCAGTCTGAGTTAGACACCGTACAGGAGCATGCAAGCCTCCACAGTTGCAGTTTTTGAGCTGCCCAACTTTGACGAAGCAGACTGCTTTATTTTTCTTTTCTTTTTTTTTTTTTCGTTGAAGCTGCCTTTGAGGAAAGGCTGTTTATAACAATGCTGTACACATGGAAAAAATTATTTGCCGCAGTGAGTCAGTCGTTAGTCATCGACAGGCAGCACCATATAGTGACTCACGTTAGAGCAAAGGCAATCAGAGCCCCCACCACCACGATGAAGTCCAGGATGTTCCACATGTCTCGGAAATAAGAGCCGTCATGAAGGATGAGGCCCTGGTCTATCATCTGGAGGACGAACACGCCCACAGGGAACGTGAACACGTTAAACACACAAACCACAGGAGTTAAAAGAAAACCAAAGTATATTCTTTAAAAGTGTAGCTGGCAGAGAAAAGATTTGTTTCTGTCACCAACCTTGATGATCATTTCAAAGGTGAACACTCCAGTGAAGACGTAATCAAAGTAACGGAGGACCTGCATATAAACAGAAAACTTTTTATCTCTAATATTGTGAAAATTTTCAACACTTTCCTTGATTTCTCAGAGGATAATTCATTTAAAAGAATCAGACACATTTAGGAGACTGATATTTATGAGTGTGTGAAATTTGGTGCAGCTTGATTGGACTTGTTGGGTCTTGGGGGAAGTAAACTCCACTGAGTGACATTCTAGTTCCTGACTGTTCTCAACTTCATTTAATTTATTTTATACGTGATTAGTATGTGTACTAACACATCACATACTCAAAATCTGCTCAAACACATTGATAATGTTCAAGCTCCAGAGGACGTAAAACTCAAACGACCTCAGTCCCATTGAGTCGGAGCCGATACATTCGTTACCCTGCAGGTGCTGAATGAGTGGGTTCACTGTAGGTCAAAGTGTAACCATCGTTACTGGACTGAATACGTTTATAGAAATGTGCAAAGCGGCTGCAGTATATTCTGAATGTGCTTAACTCAGCACTCACAGGTATGTGTTGGGTGCTGTGAAGAGGTGCTCCAGAGATTTAGATTTGAGAACACTTCAATTACATCATCCGACTCACAAGAGAGAGAAAAGAATAATTGAAATAAAAGAAAAAAAACAGCTTTCTAGTTCTGGTTATGCACCAAAAACACTGGAATCTAAATTTCCCACAATGCAAGTTGATTCAGATTAGTTTTTAGTCTTTCAAACACCACGATCATCATTTGTAACACAGGCTTTCATCTGAAGGTGTATGAGGATGACAACGAATTAAAAATAACTCAGACTTTACTAGTGTGTCCTTCCAACTTCCCATGCATGTTTAATTGGTTACTCTTGACACTTTCCTTGTGACAGAGTTGTGAGAAACAAACTGCACAGTTATTTCCCAAACAAAACTGATGATTCTCACCTTGTATGTGCGTGAAAACCAAATGTGTCTCCACACTTTGTTGCTCACACAATTTGGGTATGTTTTAAGTCAAGTCTGATTGAAACTGTCGATTCCTTGAGGATAAATGTTTGTTAAAATAAAGTAGACAAGACGATCCAGCTTCACTTGGCCACTGACCAGCTGAGCTGGGAAAATATTGATTTGAACTCTGACACTTTCCCACAGCTGCTTCTGGAGAGATGTGTTAAGATCCCACCTTGTTTCTGTCTGAGCTGGTGCACACGGGGTCCTCGGCGGCCAGTGCAATGCTGCTTGCCACGATCACAAGGAGGATGGTCATCTCAAAGTAACGTAGAGTGACCACATAATGGCAGATTCTTCTGATACTGTGGATCAGTGCAGGGGAGGGTGTTTTTTTTTGTTATTTGATGGGTGAGCAGAAACAAAAAACAGACAGAGCAGAAACAAAAGATGAGACAGTCAGTGATTTGGTGGCTCACGGGTTGGAGGCCTTGAAGATGAACATGCTGTCTGGGGCAATGGGTTTTGGAGGAGTTGGAGGTTCCTCCTCCTCTTCCTCCTCTTCCTCCTCCTCCGTCTCCTCGTCGCTCTCTTTCTGCTCGGAGTGGTACGCCTCCAGCTCTTTACTGTTCACTACAACGCAGACAGCAGTGGAAAAGGAGAGATAAAAACATGGCTTTAGCTCTACATAAACCGCTATGACAGAGAATAATGTGAGTCACCAGCACAATGGGTTCATCAAAAAAAAAAGACAAATGTCAGAAACACCTACACACGGTGATACCGACGCTAAATCCCCCTTTATGCTGCACAGTGAAGGAATGTGACTGCAGCAGAAACAGTGCTACCTGTCATGGGTGTGAGCTCCAGCAGCGGCTGTGCAGACATCTCGATGGCCACGCTCCCCTCCAGGTGGGACCTGTCACGTTTGATGGAGACCGGGCAGTTCTCGGCCTCCATGGCACTCACAGTGTACTCTGTGGCCTCCAAGGCCGGCTCCACTGGGATGTTTTGGTCAGTGTGTCGGCCTTCACCCTGCTCGGACCAGGTACAGTCAAGCAGCTGCTCGCACTGAGGAGGATCAGGGATGTCAGATCTGAAAATGGGAATGAAAAAAAATTACTGAAATTAAATAAATCTTACATGAACATTTTGTGCAGAAAGTACTGTGCAACAGCTGCACTGTGTTGAACTCCAGTATATTTATAATATGCTTTTTTTGTTGTCACTGGATATTCGCTCCTGAGAGAGAATCCTAACTTGTAATCTCTGTGTGTCGTTAGCTACACTGGCACCGTCACTCTGTAGATGTCAGTCAATCCACCACTTACATGATGTATCACAACAGCTACAGGAGGGATCACTGTGGAATTTGGTACATTCATATCATCCTCTGGGTAAAGTGTAAAAATGCTGGTGGATCTTATCTGCAAAATTAATCACATTCACATCAGCCTCAGCCGTAGCAAACGAATAGGAGCTTCTATAGACAGCTGGACCCTGAGACTGAAAGTGGCTTGCTCTTTGTTTCAAAGGGTTATTTCACTTTTTTCCTAGTCTGTCCTAAAACCAAAGAGTCACATGCACATGTGGATATTTCAAGAATTGTTGGTCTTTTCTTGTCTGTGTACTGGTCCTCGCTCAAATAATGTGTTATTACATTCAACTGAAGCTAATGTTAGCCAGTTAGAAAACATTTAATTAGGTTCACTTGTACAATCTGCTGTCAATCAAAACAACAGCTTTGTAACAGATTCTACCTTTAAACATTTTATAATATTTGCTTTTTGTTGAAATGGTCAGAAATGTGTGTAAATTCCATCTTAATGTTGTTGTTCCTGATGTCAGACAGTAGAGAAAGGCAGCCTCATGTAACTGAATGATTTCAGTGGGAATGTGGATTTTGTCTTCTCCACTGGAGACACGTTGAGAAGGAATCTTTTCACAGCCAGTTTGCAGAACATGTGTGGAGGGCCTGTGACTAACGCTTCGAGGTAGAAAAAACTGAGCCAGTGTTTTAACAAAAACAGAGACTACAAGATGCAAAATGTCTCTCTGGTGGAAATATCCAGTAACATTAAGATCTAGTGGATTTTGTTATTTGATAACAAGGGAACAATAGTTCAAATCAGAGTTCATGAGATTCAGTGTTCACAGATAAATAAAGTCTGACCTTCTGCAGTCGTCTCCAACATCTGCATATGGGTTGATGATGCAGGTTCCACCATCGTCTTGGACCGACCCTCCCTCCGCCTCTGTTTTCTCTCTCTCCTCTCTTTCTTCCTTCTCCTCCCTCTCATCCAGTATCTTCCTCTCCTGGCTGAGCGAGCGTCTCACTTGTTGCACCTCATGGGGCGTCTGAGTGCAGTCCAGACTCTTGGCCTCACTGCGAGCCTCACGATGACGGTGGCGTCTGTGCCGGGCACCTTCCTCCGGCCCCTGACTGGGCCTGAACTTGCGGGCCATCCTGTGCCTGCCTCCGCCTGTGGTGCGGTGGTTGGCTCCTGCTGTTTTCTCCTCACTCAGGTTCACCAGAGGCTCAGCCGCCGGAGGATCAGGGATGGGGATGGAGATGGACATCGGAGGCTCAGGGAGCGGCATCCCAACCGACATGGGAGACTCGGGCAGGTGACCCGGACTGGCCTCTGGGGAAAGGGTGGGGACATGGTGGGCGTTGGTGGGGGTTTCACTGGTGTCCTCTGTAGGGGCGCTAAACAGCTCCTCCCTGCTTGCCATCTGGCGACGTTTGCGTAGCTGGTTGGCTCTCTGCTCCCAGACGGACATGTTAACTTTTCTCCTCCTCTCTCTGCGATTGGCGAAGGCGTTGGAGCCATTGAGAGGCTGCTCGTCGGGGGCCCCCATCGCACCCTCAGGCTCGTCTGGGAAGGCTGGACGACCTCGGTGGATCGCACGTTTCCTGTATAGGTAGGGTCTTCTTCTACCACTAAGGAGCACAATATACTTCACATCACCATGAGGCAACAAGAGACTCACAGTTAATGATTTGTTGACAAGAAACATAAAGACTACTAAAAATATAGCAAACCAGTTATACACTAAAAAAAGAATCAAACAAAAAATAAAAGCTGCAAGAAAAGGAGAAACCTTTTCTATGAATTTACATTGTTACGTGATTAGGAACACAAACAAATTCCCATTGAAAAAATTAGGAAAATACTTCAAGCTGAAAAGTACAAATACATCCAAAAACTGAAAGATATACCTGAGGGGTAAAGACAGATACAGAGGAAATGAACAAAACCCACAAGAACAAAAAAAGGAAAAGTGCAGGGTTAAAGTAGAAACATAGTGTAGGAAGATCTAGAAAATAATTTCAATAATCCAGTAGGAAAACTCAAGAGAGAAAATCTACGTGACAAGGATTCATACAATTATACTTACTGGTATTCAGACTCTTTTGTTGTCCATGTAATCAATGAGTGATTATTTGAAAACAAGACATTAGTGTTTTACAACATACACAGAACATTAGTTGTGACACAGAACAAAATGATGGTTTGAGCAGGTCTGAAATCAGTTATTTCTGTTGAAATGTTGATCAAGGGGAACTTGATTTAATGTCGATCAGTTGCAGGATATTTCGTATTGTTTGTTACGCGGTGTCATCGGAAAAAACTACATTTTGGTCAGTGCCACAGAACAGGCATAAAACAAGACAACATGATGGGACCATCAAAACACTGTAATGCACATTAATACCAGCATCTTGAAAACTGCAACACGTACAAGACAAACATTCAAATATGTAACAGACAAATGATACGTTCAGTGTAAAGAGTCTACGCTGTTACCTGTTTCATTAACTGTGGACCTGCTCTCATTAAAACAAGCATGGGCTGGGCAAATCACTTTAACGATTGACCGACACGACAATGATGAAGTCGGTCGGAGGTTATAAATGTGGTTTCCATAAATGTTTCGGTTAATTGCCCAGCTCTGTCACAATCATAACCATATCATTTAGTTGTGGTTTGATTTTCTGTCTGTAGGAAGCGATGGCCTTCCCCTTAACATTACATGAAAATCCACTTGCAGAGGCTCAAAACAGCTGGAAATGATAATTCATGACATGAATCCTCCTTTTGGAAATATCATTTAGAAAGTTTAAACATCCAAGGTTTGAGCTTTTGTTGCAAAGATGTAATGTATTTTTCTGTCTAATTTCACATGACATTTTTCAGAATAGTTACACTCTCACAGGTTAGATAGCCTCAGAAACATGACTTTTATTATTATCTGCTTTGGGGGGAATTTTGCAGTGACAGTCGAGAAACAGGCAGGAGCTGCTGGAAGAGCAGGAGGCAACAGTAAGGTCCCCAGTGTGGTATTTATTTTAATACCATTAATAAAGATGAACGACATCACTGCACCACAAGGATGAAGCCAAAACATCTTGATCACCCCCCGGGGGCTGCCTGCAGTGTCTTAAACTCTATCTCCTCCATGCTGGTGGATGGGACATGGACCAAATTAAAAAGATGGTTGTATGTATGTTCAAGGGTTCATACACCCGGTAGGTTTGTTTTAATTTAGTTATTTTCATACCACGGCTCCACGCCACAATCACTACTGCACAGACGCCAAATGACGTCACCAGCCAAAATGGCAGCTCCCATATCTACAATATTTTGGCTTCATTTTTGTGCACAGGGAGGACATATTGTAAATTATGATCTGTAGTCTATGGTTTTAACCACAACTACACTAATTGCGTTTTTACCTGATAAAACATCAATGTGATGAATTACAAGCAAGTTTCAAGTTTCTGCAAGTTGGTTTTCATCCGATCAAAGGGCTTCTGAGAGAGCAGGAACAACACAGTCACTGATATATATATAAAAAAAATACTTTTTGGGAAATAACTGCTATAAAAGTAAATACACTCAGCTTGTAATTAATGCTGTAAAACATGCACAATAATGAGTACACTCCTTTGAAAAGCCAGGTCAGTCACTCCAGGTCAGTAATGCTCCCGATAGCTCCTTTTCCCTCATTACGACAGCTCCGTTTCCACAATGGTGATACTGATCTCACAAGTCATACTAGTATGAAAGCTTGACCAAAATCTGACACCCTCCAAAGTGTGCCTCCTCCCTGCAGAGCGACACATTGAGACTCCCCACTGTTCCCGACTTCCTCTGAAAACTGCCTCCTGCCCTCCTCCTGACTTACTGGATCATCTGACCTGTGGGGAGGCCACCGGGTCACTCAGAGGAGCAGGAAGTTCATTACCAAAAGAGGCTAGTCATAACCAATCACAGGCCAAGGCAGAAACAGATGGCGTCTCAGTGAAGCTGCAGAATCAGTCCTTAAGGGGTCATGCTTTTCCATCAGGCACATTCAATACACATTCATTACTGTGTCATCAATACCTTACACATGCGTTTCTTTCTTTCTTTTCGCATTCACCATGCAGCCGAAAGAACCGAGGACTCATATTTGCCTGTTGCACTTTTATCAGAGTCCACAGTCGGTGGAATTTATTGGTTAATCTCGGTTGATGTCATAAATGTCTTCCCCCAAATAACTGAAGTAGCATGATAATCAAATTCATGACCACCACTAGTTTTCCCACAGCACCTGTATCTTATGTAACTTTTAGTTTGATTACGTTGCATGTGCTGCAAAAAGGAATGGTCCAATTCAAATGTTCCATTTGCTCAAGAGGAGAGCAGATCTGAAACTTCCACACTTGAACACTGAGATATCCTTAAGGGCTGTTAACCCCCTGGGTGTCTCATGTTCAAATGATGATTCTGTAAACTGTTTATGGATAACTTACTCAGAGATCAGGCCATCCCTGCCTCTGGCATATCTCTGGTTGAAGAACTCTTCTTCCTCCTCTTCGTCCTGAGGAAGAGAAAAAGAGAATATGGTTGTATAAGGCACTCTATTTATTTAACACATCAGGTTTTTCTTAAGTCGAATAAATGGATGGTTGTGATTTTAAACTGTGGGTGTTGAGTTTGAAGGATGTGAGCCGTCAAGTTGCATGATGGGACATGGAGGATCAAGGTATATGGCAGTGTGACTCATAATAGGGGATAAAGTAAATATATTACAGCATCTTCTTGAATAATGATCTGTCTTTTTGTCCAACTCTAAAAGTGAGTAATAGTGAATCTAGAGAGAAGCTTAACTAACCTAGCAAAAAACTCACTTTAAGGGCTGTGTACACAAAATGAATTATTTGATTGGTAAAAATGGCGTTTACGTAAAAGATCAAGCAGTGCTAACCTTTGTCAGTTCCTGTGCATTTGCCAGATTATCCACAGCGATGGCCAAGAAGACATTCAGCAGTGTGTCTGACAGGAAGACAGTTAAGAAACACACACAAAGACACACACACTGTGGGGACGTGTCTGGATGTTACTATCTTATCTCTGATGAGACTACATTTTGATATTCTCTAGATAATGATTTGTTATTTAAAGCATTACAGCTGCAAACACCACTTAAATATAACATCTTATCCTTCTTTGATAATATTATTATAGATAATATTATAAATAATGTTTGACTTAGAATCTCATTCATTTATTAACATGTAACGTACATGCTTGTTTTACTGTGCAGTTTTGCATATTTATTTGTGTTTATACATGTAGAGTTTGAGATGCCACATCTGAGCTCTCTGATCATTTAACAAGGATACAGTTTCCAAATAGAGTGAGCACTATGAAGTAGATCGATGACCACATGCCGTACTGCACTCCCCCCTGTGAGCGAATCCCATTGTACATCACCTCGTTCCAGTCCTCACCAGTCAGAATCTGTAGGCAAATGCACCTGTTATAACATTTAACATGTTTAATTACATTGCTTGAATTAGATCCAGGAGAACATTGGTCTAAAAATACACCAATCAGGGGACATAGTCCCTGTCTACGAATCAGCTGAAGATGTGATATTAAAATGGAAGCGAGATAAGTAATTACTATGTGTGCCGATCAAAACACTGTTTCTCAGTGCAGTCGGTTTTGTAGATCTGATGTGGATTTGTTCACGTTTCACTTGTCTGATATTCATGTGCGCATATGTGCGCATGGATGTGTGGGATGATAGCGGAGGCAGGGGGTGGAGAGCGAGTGAGCAGAGTTGTTTAATCTGCGCCTGGGGTGAGAAATATCCCAGGGTGCAATGTGTCATGGAGAGCAGGCAGAATGAGGGGATCTGTGGGAGCCAAACCTGAAACACTGTCATGATGGCAGCTGGAAACGTGTCAAAATTGGTGGGAGTGTAATCTTCAAAGATGAACCTAGAGGGAAGGCAGATAGAGAAGCAGGGTCAGATATGACCAAGGAAGAAAAGGAGAAGGAAGAAGAATAGGAGGAGGTTGACGAGCTATTTTCATCCGGACATGCCGTTTCCTCTTATTCTTATCAAAGAGGCCATTGAAGAAACTGCTGCATATATTACAGGGTGTAGATGCCATTTAAAAACATGTGGTGTGAGCTGGTATGTTGGGTAAAGTATAATCTACTGCTCTCCTTGACCCCAGTTCAGCCTTAAATACAAGGCAAGGCTCTTTTATTCATAAATCACCTTTGATACACAGAGGTAGATTCAAGGTGCTGTACAGACACATACAAAAACTGAGACAAATGTTAAAGACAACTTAAAACTGAAAGCACAGTTTAAACAATTTTCAAGCTAAATAAAAGATAGAATAAAAGAGGTAAAATATAGAGTATGTTTCAAAATCTAAAAATACGTTGAAATGGAAAAATACCATAAATAAAATAGACAGAACTGTGTGAAATAATAAAGGGAAAAAAGCTAGAAAAAGTAAAATATCAAAATAATTGAATACTTCTCTGACTCCTCCTCTAGTACTCCTCTATTTTGTGAGGTCCCCCAAGGGTCTATATTGGATCCTCCTCCTTTCTCCCTCTTATCTAATAATTATGCCCTGAAACCTGTTGTTTTTTATTCAGAAATTGTCATTTGATGATGAAGTCATACAGTCCTGCTGTATCTCTTACAGACTCTATTATAGAGCGTAACAGTGGCCGTCCACTTTTGGAACAACTCTACGTAAATTTCTCATTTTCTCCATCGATGGTTCACAAAATAAAAACCAGGCTTTTGTATCCTGCATGTTTTACTCACCTTCCGCCGAAAAGCTGCATCCCCAGCAGAGCAAACACCACGATGAAGAGGAAGAGAAGAAACAGCAGACTGATGATGGACTTCATGGAGCTCATGAGGGAAACAACTAGGTTCCTGAGAGAGGCCCAGTACCTGACAGAGACACACAACACATATTCTTTTTTCTAATATACAGTTCTACTAGCCGGGACTAGTTTAGTTGAAATGTCTCGTTGTCCCACTTACTTGGTGATCTTAAAAATTCTCAGGAGTCTCAGTGCCCTCAGTACGCTGATACCAAACGACATGCCAGGCCGGAAGAAGCCCCAAACCACCTCGAAGATGCTGCCAACAATAACCTGCAGAAGACGTCAGACACATGCAAATAAAAAGAACCTGAAAACTGTTTATTCATCTTGAGCTGATGATGGGAGCTGTGGGTATTTTAACACTCTCAAATTGCTTATCACAGTTATTGTTAATCCTTGTCTTCCATATTTTTGTTCCTGCATATCTGTTTATATTTTTTAGGGTATCTGTGTGTCTGTTTTTTAAGCTCTATAACACAATAACAGCACAAGGAGATGATAAAGGCTGGGTTTTTCCATTTTTGTATACATCAGTTAGCTTAATTATGGGGTTTTCTGATTTATAAATTCTCTGTAACTTTTTGATATGAAAGTCTATTCTAGCGTGATATCGAATCAGAAGGATGAAGAATCTCACCCCACAGTCGAAGCAGTTGAAAGAAGAGTGGAAGTAGAGCCGGAAACCCAGACCATACATTTTCAGAAACATCTCAGCCAAAAACAGCCCCAAGAAAACAAACTCTGCATAGTCTGGTGACGATAAAACAAAAAAGAAATTAAGTCCAAGGAGAATGAGGCAGTAATTCATTCATCGAGTAGTAAACAAACAAGCAAACATGAAACCCACAGAGGAAGATGGTCAGCCAGTCGGGCTGGTTGTGGTGGACGATGGCCACGCAGATGGTGTTCAGAGCCACCAGGCTGAGCACCATCAAGTAGAACGTGTCCGTCTTCACCATGCGCCGGATGGAGATGCGTAACATGCGCTCTTTACGTCGCAGGTAGGCAGCTGGGCCACGACGGCCACTGCGGAAGTTCATCCTCGATCTGGACATGTCTGAGAGGAGAGGACAGAGGAAGAAAGACGACGAGTTCAAACATATGACAGGAGGAGAGAAGGGGAGCTCAGAGAAAGGTGAAGAAGTAGAGACTGAAAAGTTGTTCACTCACTGGCCGTGGATATGTCGGTGTACTTGTCGTCCCCTGGTGCTCCTCTACGTGCACCAGTCTTCTTACTCGCTCTCTTCAGAACTTCAGAACCACAAAAACTCAAGTTTAGCGAATCTCTGACTGACTAAACTTCTATAATATAACATCAGAATGGAAATTGAATCATTAAAATAAGTGATGACCCTAGAAGACTTAAAATGTTGTACTCCCTATTGAGCATATAACANGCCCTGTGTGTGCAAAATGCTTTGTATTCAAGGTGACACTGCACATAGACATACCATACATACCTCTCATAACAAACTTCCTGCTTTAGAAAATAAATAATTGCTTATAGAAGAATGTATTGTAAAGATATATTCATATTTGTATGCAGAGTGAGAAGTAGTACTTAACTGAAAGTTCAAATCTTCTCCCTCTCCCGTGTAACCATACCATTTAATGGAAACCTAAGCACACAAAGACCTCTCAAACAACTTGACTAAAAAAACAACTGATGACATTTAACCCTACTTGAATGGCACTTTGGACACATGCTATTAAGGTTGGCTGAAAAAAACTGAGGACCTTTGACCTAACTAGAACAGCATGTGTGCAACACATGTTTGCACAATAGCCCATTTACCTATTGAGGTCACGTGGGTGACATTCCTCAAGGTCATCTCATTTTTAAAGATAGAAAGGTTATGTAAATACAAAAAGCTACAGGGCAACTACACGCAATCTAGTTATGGAAATACATTTGAAGTCATCAAGAAAATTTAGATTTTTTTCCTGCATTTTTCCAGCATTTAAATCTTAACATGAATTCATACTGGTTAAGTTTTTCATTGATGGTACTATTACAGTGCTGGCATCTCTAACATCTTGTTTATTGGCACAGGACTTATTTTGGATCTTATCCTCGCCTGGATGGCAACTGTTCAGCCACTCCATTCCAAGGCGCTATGTAATCCCTTCTCAGCTTTTATGGAATGGCGCTCAGCCTCAATTTTATTTCCGACATCTGAGATGTGTAGTAACCCTGCAACTATATACCAGTGACATTTAAATGCCTCTCCAAAACCCCAACCTGTAGCTGCTGCAAAAAACTCCAGGATCACTATTAGTAACAATGACTATCATTAACTAATCTCTTTTAGTATCAAGACAACTATGTGATTACTGTGTATGTTCAAAACACTGTTTATTTATTAGTGTGTAAAGGCTTTAAATCTGTAATCAAAACTACACCCACAAATGACCTCCTATTTACTGAGTGATTTGATGACAAACACTTGTATTATGAAATTTAAAATAATTAAAACAGATAAATAGCAAGAAATAAATAATACATTTTACAGCAGAGAATATTATGAACCGTCTCATGATACAACAATCTTTTTATATCTGTGGCCCTGAAGAGAATTTCTCTGACCCTCTTTAACAAAATACTCGACCCTATTTTGTATATGTGCATGTGTGAATGTTCTGAAACTGTACACCAGTGACAGATGGATACTTCTCCAAAAATGGGAGGAAATAAATCAAAATAAGTGAGTAAATGAATTGTATGAATTGGATTTATGAATCAGCACCTCCATATTTTGCATTATGTATTATCAAACACTCAACAACATATTTATGGTTTGTATACACTGTAATAGTGCTGGAAATATAAAATATGTCTTGATAAGATGAGTTATAATTGTTGAACTAAATACTATGGTGGTCCAAATAATGTGAATTTTCAGATGTTCCTGATGAATACATTAAAAAAATCTAAACTTTAAAAGCAGGGGGACATGTGAACACATTATGGCCATATACTTAAAAGAAAAAGAAGCAAATGTCAATGACTCCTTATGCTAACAATTATTTTATTCAATTGGTGAAGCAACATTAATAACTGTTGCCATGGTTACTTCCAGTTTAATATACTCCATCGAGCCCAGTGATTTGTTGAAGCGCTCAAACTGTTGACTAGAGCTGTTGTATAAGTTGAAATGTTGACACCAATCATGCATATTATGAATATTTTCTGTGGTATAACATCTACTAATGATTTCATCCGTAGTTATAAATAGCGGTATTAGGTACAGGTGTTAACTGTAGGTGTGAGTACAAATCTGAAGCGTGTGAGCTCACCGTCCAACGGCGATCTCCCAGAACTTTTATTCTCCTCTGCGAGCATCACCTCCTCTGTAATGCAATACAACTCGAGGTCATGCACAGACTTGTTTTCACCAAATCAAACAATCAGACATGGAAATATAGATTTCAGCTTTGGATTATTTAGGACGTCTGCAAACATTTACAGGAACTGAGGCCGAACTGATGAAAGCTCAGCTCTGTGAGGCCAGTGTGACCTCCTTCAGAGAGAGAGAGCTCTTCTTCTCTCTTACATTCTCCCAACCGCTCCCTCTCTCTTAGTTTTCTCTCTCCCTTCCCACACTCACCCACATCCATGCACACTAAATATGCACAGCAGCTCACACAACCACACACACACGCATGTAAACACACAGAAATGCGCGTGTGGATGTACATGCACACAAATTTAAGTCAGTGAGTCAGTATCACCTTTTTCTCACCCTCTGCTTGCGTGGGAGACTAGCAATGTAGATTGCTGTGTGTGTGTGTGAGTGTGCGTGTGTGTGTGTATGTGCGTGTGTGTGTGTGTGCATGTGCAACTCCACTCTACTGTGGGTCCAAAAACTCTGCAGGAGTGGGAAAAAAAATTCTGGACCTGCAGGCAAATCACTGTATGAGATTATACAGTATCTGTATAAGTGTACTTCTGCTCACAAAATCAAATTATGGACATTTTGGATAATGCATGTATTCACTTTCTTGGCCTTAAAGGGTTCAATAAAGAAATGAGGTGAGAAAAAACACCAGCAACTGAAAACTGGGAGAAACAGGTAAAAAGTTTCAAGTCTGCACCTCTGAAGCTCAATGATTATTTTAATTATGTTTGTGTAATCCAATCGAAAACAAAACTGTTAAAACAGCAGTTTACTGGGGTCATGTACTTCTTGCTCTATTTTACAAACAGACACACTGTGTTGCACTGTGTACTTTATATGCTATTAAGTTAAAAGCTGCTTTGCACGGTTGTTAAATACTGTTATTATACTGTAATTTGCTTTTTATGTGACACAAACTCCAGCTCTTACACTTATCAAAATCTACTTTTAGATCATTTCTCCACCTTCTAAATGTGTCTTATCTGGAGGCATTTGAACATCAGGTTTTGTCTGTTGTGAACAAAGCCTTTCAAGATGAGAGCAAACAAACCATCCATCCATTCATCTAATATATTGCGACATTGGGCAAATAGCAGGGTACATCCTGGGCAGGTCGCCAGAGGCCGAGCCAACGCCGGCGCCAGTGTATCGCAGGGCCACAAACAACCATTCCCCTCGAGAGACTATTGAGAGTCTCTAACCAGGCCGAGATTAAAACCTGGAACCTTCTGAGGCGACAGAGGCATTTCTGATCAGACTATCACTGAGCAGGACTAAATCCTGCCCACTCACTTACTTACTTCAAGCCATCAGCAAAATAACAAGTGTTTATCTACAGATGTAAGTTATTCTGCTGCCCAGTACCTGCCCTGTCTATCCAGGCTCGGTATCCGTTCAGTTCTCTCTCCACCTGCTGTTGGCGGCGCAGCTTCATGAAGGCTCTCCGGTTCTCCACCCTCTCCCTCTCCTTGGCAAACTCTCTGAAGACAGGAGCATGAAAACAGCTCTCATAATCCACAATACACACAGATGCTTCAGTATCATCCAGAAGAAGAGTCTCACTCACCCAGACAAGACACCCAACACCAGGTTCAGCACAAAGAATGAGCCGATGATGATGAGAGGGATGAAGTACATCCAGTTCCATGTGAGACCCAAGGCATCGTTGGTCTGAAAGCCAAAACATTCATTAATTCATGATGGCGGTCAGCGTTTTGTTTGTTGACTGGATACTTGAGCTCACATTGTAGAGAACGGCCGTCCATCCCTCCATGGTGATACACTGGAAGACGGTGAGCACAGCAAACAGGATGTTGTCGAACTGCGTGATGCCGTCATTGGGCCCGATCCAGGTGTCGTTGCAGTCGTACTGCTCCGGACACTTCCTCACTCCACACGCAAACGCCAACTCTGACGAGTCAACAGTTTCATTGTCTGCAAAAAAGAAGCATGGAGTAACCGTTACACTATATTGATTAGTTATACTGTCAATGTGCTTCTTTTTTTTTTTGCTCAACAACTAAATGAGTCCCATCACCCATTGTATATTCCATGAATTATGTGTGTATGATAAAAAGAGAAATAAAGTTTGTCTGTGATGTTTTTAAATCGATGTTAAAGACAGAAGAGGATTATTTGTGTTATGGTGTGTTTGTAAACTAATTGTGGGCCAATATGCAACTTATGAGAAATAATTATGTATATTCATAAAGGTAAGTGTAAAGATTCTATGAGAATTAAGTATTAAGTGTAAAAACAAATTGTCTTTATAGGGGATAAACTTGTTTTTGATTTGTTTTCTGTTGTTTGATATTTCAATCTATCTCTCGGTTGTGCCGGGCGATGACAGTAAATGCTATGGTGTAGCGTGTGATTACAGAGTAGCTGTTGACTAATTAAGCAGCAGCTAAATCAGCCGACAACTACTCTAATAACACGCCTGAGCTTGCTGCTGCTGCTGCTGCTGCTGTAATCTATGAGAGCTTCAGTTTCTCAAACATACATTTTTACACAACTACCTGTTGGCAAATCAACTTTACATCATCTAAAAAGCAAAGCATGTGTATATTTTTCTATCTGCATTCGTTTTGGGACAAAATCAGGTGCATCTGAGGACAAGACGGGCCCACGAATGGTGAGGTGGTTAATTTGCATAATGGTGGATGGATAATTAATTTGCATCCCTTTCAACGTAGGCGTAAATGTCCACCCCCATTTTTGTATCTACATTTAACCAGTTATTAACCAGAACAATTACATGGAACAACAGGAACAGGAAGCGTCTGTAGTTGGTGTGTGCGGATCGTACCGAGGATGTAGACAGATGGCAGGCAGGTGTGGTGAAGCTTCCCGCTGTAGAACTCCAGGCCGATGATGGCAAACATGAGGATGGCGAAGAACAACAAGAGGCCGATCTGCAGCAGCGGGATCATGGCCTTCATGATGGACTTCAGCACAATCTGCAGGCCTGAGGGTTTTCACAAAGAGACGGTCGTCCCGTCACAGACAAACACCAGGTTAACGCAAGCATAAGAGTCAAACTCCACTCTAAAAGGGTCGAAATATATGTGGCACAAAAGGACAAGTAGAGACCATCATCATGTACAGTCACTTTAGTTCATCATCCAGTAAATCATCTGTATTTAAACATGACTGACTCATCTGAAATAACAGCTTTTGTGACGAGGAAAACATCCAAGCATGAGGATGTGCATTAACAAATCAGTTTGTTTGACCTTGACAGTGCAGTATATATAAGAGTAGCAGCGTCAGTAACCGACTCACTGGGGATCCCGGAGACGAGTTTGAGAGGCCTCAGCACTCGCACAGCCCTCAGGGTTCGAAGGTCAACTGGGATGTTCATGTGGGCTCCGGCCGTGGCCAAGATCCTGGAGGCAAACAGAATATGCATATAGAATAATTGATGTAGAGATAATTTTGAGGACAGGAATGTTAGTAAGTATGATGGAGTTCAAGTGCCAAATTGAAGAAAACAGTCTTTAGGAAATAACCGGCAAGAAGAACTTGTGCTTGCTTGTGTTCAACTTCTTCTGGAATCAGAATTTTGAATATGAATCTCATTGTTTCTACAAAAACCACTTTGAATATCATGCAGAACATTTCTTACACAATCTTTTCAAAGTCCTGATACTGATGGTGCTGATGTGACAAAACATGAAGTATAATTTAACAAGATGCCCCTCGTTCCTCTTTAGATGCTGGTGAACTTCTGATACAACTTTTCTTGTAACATTAGGACTTTATTTTTATTAATATTACAACTTTATACTTGTAAAATTGCGACTTGTTTCTCTGATTTGTTTCGTGGCCCAAATACTCCATCACAAGTAATTTGGTTGTCATCAGTTTATTCTTGTTTTGTGAGGGGAGACAGATTACTTTACTTATGGCCTAAAAAAGAAGATAAAGTCAGAGAGTAAAGAAAGAGAAAAGACAACAGTTACATATAAAAGGGTGGAAACATCCATTAATAACTCAATCTGGTGCCAAGCCTCTCTGTCCTTTCTTCAGATGTTTTTGTCCACATTGTGTTTCAAATTTAATTTCAAAAGTAGGTAAAGCGCAACAAATGGAAGTATCTCAAGTTCATTTTTGGAGAAGTGACTCATTTTTAAAGAAAGATGCAGAATAACAAAGTGTTCACGGTTTGTCGTGCAGCCAGTGAATCGTACAATATATTTATTCAGTGCACCAGACGTGAACGGTGAGAGACAAAGAATGCACAACACACCATACACCTGGCAGGCATTTCTACTCACATCTGCCCACGCACATATTCACGTTTCTCCCACCTACACACAAACACTGAGAAGCAGCATCATGGGCAACCAACAGGCAACCTCTTATACCAACGTTCACCATTATTTATGTTTTCTTGCCGCAATGGCTAAATCAGGGTTTGTGTTATTTTCATCTGAGGTAAGATAATGTTAATAATTTCCAAGTGCTGCAATAGTCTCGACATTAAAAACTGAACATTCATTGAATTTAGGCAACATTTTTCATCTCAGTTCATTATAAGCCGAGCCAATTTGGTGGCCTTGAGCACTAATGCTTGCACTGACGAGAGCATAAATATCCAACGCTAATTTGCTGTGTAATATTTTAACTGAGCTGTGGAAATGATCCTAGAAATCATAATTATTGTTCCACATTTGTCCATCTCTCTCTCACACACACACACACAAACACACACACACACACACACACACACAGATACAAATATACAACTCACAAAATCTTTGGACGGTGTTGGGAAGTGTGGGGGAGGGTATAAGTGTGCTCGTGTGTGTGAGCAGGGGGTAGAAAGCACATGGCAGCAACTCAAGTGTAAGCCCACGCAGAATCTCTCCTGAAAGCAGTGGGAGGGAGTGAGGCCGAGTGAGTGAGTGAGTGAGTGAATGAGCGAGGCCGTGTTCACGCTGATGCGGATAAACCTGAGAACGCTGTTCAAAGTATCGAGAGCTCACCGTCCACAACACCGAGCTCAGAAGCTCTTCTAAATTGACCATCAAAACTGAATACTGCTCCACGTGCAGGATGACGGAGCGAGCATCTTTCCACAGCAGTGGATCACAGGGGACAAAACTGAAACCAACATATCCCGGATACATATGCTGTCATCCTGCGCTGGTGACGTCATCTGAAAACCAGAGTCTGCGCAGTAGTGATTGCAGCCCATGGAGCCGCAGTATCAAGGTCCTGCCGATACACTCGCTCAACCAATTGCGAGTCAGTCTTGGCTGTCACTCATTGTGATTTCTATAGCAGTAAAAACAATATAAATCAAACTTGCCAGAACAATTGAGAGTTTATCTTTGTAAAATGACTTTTTTAACTTTGTGCCATGTCCCATCTGCTAACATGGAGGGGGTGGGGTTAATGGCTATCGAGATGGTTTGGCTTCACTTTTCATTTCATCCATCTATATATCGTCTGTGCAGTTGATCTAAAAACTGGATCATGTTAGACTAAGATTTTCATGATATTTCTCTAGATTCAGATTAGTGTGGGATTTACACCTCCGTCTGGATGTGTTCCTCTGATTCTGTACATGTGTCAAGAGTGTCTACACACAGCCAGCAGCACAGCCAGTGGTGGAGGAATATTACATTTAGGTAAAGTGAATTAATTCACACGACAAACAACAAAACACAGACGAGATGTTTGTTTTTGTTTCTTTTCTCTTATCTAGTGGCACTAAGGAGGATATTGAGTGAGTGAGTGAGTGAGAAAAGAAATGACACATCGAGAGATGTGGAAAACAGCCTTCAAACCAAACACACGGAACAAAGCGGACAACTGCACAGCTCCTTCAAGGCTGCACTTTGAGCACAATTCCACAGAGGCGTCCTCAAAATTAAAGCAAACATTCAGTCTGACTGTGGTTACCCATGAATCATACCGACACACACAATGAGGTAATTTTCCTTCTTTATATTTAGAAAATTGTTTTTTTGCGGATAATTTTTTTTTTTTCTTTAATTTTACAGTTGACATGCTGTTCACTAATTTGCACCTATCGTCACTAATGTTCCCCAGAACCAAGGCAGTAAAAAGGCAAAACCACATAATGAAAAACAGCAAAAAGAATCACCTCATTTGATGAATCCATATAAAAACAGACTGACAAAACTGTGGAGGTGTTTCAGAATACAGCCTTCCTCTAAAGACAGCAGTGAGATTACTGTGTGATTACTAATAAACAATATTTGCATCTGTTCAACCACTGGTCCTGCATCGATCATCCAACCTCCAAAACCAGAACTGACAAGTTAGCAAACATTACAAAACAGGTTTAAAGTTAAAAAATGGGGCATAAAAAAGTGGAGTACACATGGAGTTCCACAGGGTTCAATACTTGGTCCTGTTTTATTTAAACCTGCAGTGCAGAACTTTTTAAACAGAAAGACTTTTAAATGAAAAACCAAAATGAACAGACCTCTTTTTTCCAAAAGTGACCAGAATCAAGCCTCTTTAAGTAATGATGTATGCAACACACATGTGAGAGAGTATCAAGGTGAACACCTACACTGGCTTAGAACAAAAGCAGATTCAAAGTTTTGATGTCTTTTCATTTTAAATCAAGATCGCCTCCAAATGTGTATAAATGTTCATATTCAATCTTATTCACTCCTTTCAGTTTTATCTTTACTTGCTTTTAAGTTGAAATTATTTTTTATATCTACATCTAAATTCCATTTTATATGAAGAAATATTTACAGATAGAAAAATGTCAGAGCTATCAGTGAAGTAGGGAGACAATTAAACTTATAGCTGCTACTTGCTGCACATACGTCACTCTTCTGACTCAACTCTGTAACAATCCAGCCAGGAGTTAATGTTCACAGTGAGAGGCTAATCTCTTCCTCGTTGGCTTTTTAAGCAAAGCGCTGTTGTTCAGTATTGTACCAAACTGGCTCTGGAGAGGATGAATTCATTACATGCACAGAATGCAGCCTCTCCCACACACCTCCACCTACACTGAGAACACTGCCAAAAACTACAGTAATCAGCAGCATCACATTGCTCACATTCCAGCACAGCTCCGCATATGGTAATAAGCAGCTGAATCAACATAATGCATCAACAAATTAATGTCTGAATTAAATAGGGAAAAACATAAATGATGTGTCGAATGCTAACATCAATAACTGGGACTAAATGGAAAAGGCGTTTGCTCATTATTAGTCATAGGATAAATGGCTGGGTGCATGTTTTCCCAAAGAAAACCCACCTGGGACCGTGGGCTATTTTTTATTCAGCTCAATTAAACAAGCTGAGACAACTTCTGCTGTCCTTAAAAACACCAGGAACAATAAACATGATGTTGACGAGACACTGGAAGTTATTTCTTCAATAAGTTTTGTAATTGAAACAGTTTTTTTGTAATTTATCTCAAGGTTTTGGGTTTACAGATGAGCTGTGGTAAAAGAGAGTAAAGAACTTCCACTCTTGTACATTAAGTTGGATAAAGGCTGCAAATGCCCAAGGCCCCAAACGTCCAGTATCAAATTGCTCCAGTTTATAAAGTTTCTAATGCGTTAAACTTAAGAAATGTTAGCTTAACACTTCAGCTATGTGTAAATCACTTGATGGGAAACATTGTTTAAAAGCAGTCGGCCACCATAGCTTCCAGAAATGATAATCATATGGTACAATTGATGGAGTGGAGTGGTGAACTAGGGTCCAACTAGTTTTTTTAGCCCCTTGGCCACCAGACGTCTATCCGGCCTTACGTGCACATTTGATGCTGCAGAGGAAAACGGCTGCAAAAGAGTGAGACTGTTCTCACTCCTGTGTGTCTGTCTTTGAGCCAGATGGCTAATGAATCACTCCCAACTCCCGCCCTGTTGTATTATTCATTCTGTCTAAAGAGCAACCATTTTAGCAAAGTATCACACTTTGCAAGAGGGACAGCAGCCTGGGGCAACACAGGGACAGCTGATATCTGTCACACCACATGATGGGAAACCAACACACACACACACACACACACACAGATGTGTGCAGCCACAGCTGGGATCAGAATCACTTAGGTCTGATGAGGGAGTTATCAGAACATTTGTAACAACATGAGGGCAACAGGTTCAGTGGAGACGATCTGAACCTGCACTGTTATAAATGGAGTAACAAGCACACACCGCAAACACACACAAACACACACCCACACACACACACACACATACACACAAGCACAAAGTCATCTGGGAGACATCGTATTGCTAATCAAAGCGTCAGATCCACCTGTGTCAATCTGCTTGCCGCAGGATATAATTGACCATTTTAGGAATC